TAAATCCCGCCCCCCCCCCCCCCCGGCTTCCCGATTAGCAGGGAAGCCGTCTCCATGCTCCCTTGTCACTTGGTGATGAGGGAGCATGGAGCCGGCTTTCTGGCCAATCGGGAAGCCGGGTGCCGTGTAACAACGCATTGTCCGGCTTCCTGATTGGTCGAGAAGCCGGCTCCGTGCTCCCTCGTCATTAGGCGGTGAGGGAGCATGAAACCAGCTTTCTGGCCAATTAGAAAGCCGGGGGGCGCGGAGTGACGAGTGAGCATGGAGCCGGCTTCCCAGCCAATCAGGAAGCCGGGCAGCGTGTAATGACTGGCTGCCCGGCTTCCTGATACTGGAAGTTTACGAGTGCTCGCCCAAATACTCGGCATTGGCAGCGATACCGATACTAGTATGGGTGCATCCGTAATATTTGGATTCAAATGGAAATAACGGTCACTTCTTTGAATAACGTATCTTTATCCTCATTTGTTGGCTTTGTGAATCGAGCCCGTAGAATATTTCAGTATCTCTGTTCGATAGAAGATCCTATGCACACCTTGGCACTTTTTTTGTTGCATATAGAATCTGTATTTATATTCAGTGCTGTGTGGACCTTTCTCTGTGAATTGGGTGAGGTTATGGTGGGTGGATGTGGGCTCGGTCCCCTAGAGGTTGCAGATCCCTCTTGATGTCAGCCCAGAATTTGCACCCTCAACATCAAGATACCGACATCCTCTCCGTGTTTCTTTCTTCAGTCACCCTTTTATGTCTGCAACTTATTGCTGTTCCCTTTCAGGTTCCGATTGTGATCCCCATTCTAATGGGTCAGATAGGTCAAATACCAGCTACTCCCTGACGCATGCTGTGGTTCCTCTCGCCTCCCCATTACAAGTCATAGAAGCCGGCAGAAGGACCCATAGCATGCAGCAGGGGTAACTGGTTTTCGACCCATATGGGTGGATTCTCACCTAACAGTAAGGATTTGTTTACAGATATGTCACTGAGATACATTATTACACATGATTTATATAGCGTCAACGCTTTACAATATAAGGAAGACATTACAATCACAATACAATTCAAGATGGTGAGGAGGGCTTACAATCTAAAAGGGAGGGGGGGACGTGATACATGAGGATCTATTAGGACCTTTGTCTGTGAATTGAGTGAGGTTATGGTGGCTCGATCCCCTACAGGCTGTAGATCTCTCTTGATCACAGGCTAGAATTTGAACCCTCATAATCGAGACCCTGACATCCTCTCCGTGTTTCTTTCTTCAGAGTCACCCCTTTTATGTCTGCATGGTAGACTGCAACTCATTGCTCTTCCCTTCCAGGTTCCGATTGTGATCCCCATTCTGATGGTTCTGGTCTCCATGTATCTGGTAATAGCACCCATTGTGGATCAGCCGGAGTGGGCCTATTTGTACTGCGTTCTCTTCATCTTTAGCGGACTCATATTCTACTTCCCGTTTGTGCACTTCAAGGTCCGATGGGCACAGAAGATCACGAGTGAGTATGGCTGGCGATGTTCATCGGATAAGGAATGAGCATACGCGCGCTGCACAGATTCTGTTTTATTATCCCTTTAGTGTACATGTGCATGCATCCAAAATCTCTCTAAAACTGCTGCTTGCCCAAACAAATCCAACTAGCCTTGGCCACTCTTCAAGAGTAAACCTGCCGCCATCAGTGAAAACTGAATAAGAGCTACAGGCAGCTGCCGTTCTAGGCCGAGCTGGGCTCTGTACTCTTCCAGCTTCTGAACCTCCCTATTGGTCCTTTCATTTGATAGGCAACATCACTGACCGGTGGTGGGAGTTACCTTTATTTTAAATGATTAGAAATATATTTAAATAACTCTAGAAACAGAAAAGGAAAATTGGAGGGAAGTGTACGGTTTTTTTAATTCTCACCTCTGAACTATCCTTTCTGTGACCTTACACACATCAATGTGCTGTGTAAT